TAATTAATTGAATTATGTAAAGTGTAAAACTAGGGATTTTTAAAAAAAAAAGACAAAAGGATGTAGTGGTGATCCTTTACAATAAAGAACCAAAAAAAGGGCGGTAGGAGTGTGACAGAATCGATCCTTACACCTCCATGAAAAGGAAAGGTTGTTAATTCCTTTCCACCGTTGTTCAGCTCTATTCTTTGGAACTTATACTTGTTTTTATCTTATATATACAGTTATAAGTAAATTTTAAATTAAATATACAGAGTATAAAATATGTAGGTATTTTTTGGAAGTATGTGAGGTCCCGAGACCCGTGGGATCCTTACTGGGTCCGCCAATGCGCACAAACATCTTTTTCTTTTTATAAAGTGAACTCTCCACTACTTACTTTAACCCAACTGTTGTTGATACTCAAATTGGCACGTGACTATGCAGTCTAGACTCAATTGACTTTATTTGGTTCCAAGTAGGCAAGGATATCGCTAAAATGTTTAATGCTCCTTGTTCAACTGTTCAAGTAAAAAAGTGGGATCAAATGCATAAATGGTAACTTAACTATTGGTAATGTTGCATTTTGATACCTTAACTCTTAAATGAATCAAAACGGTACCTTAATTATACATAAATGTTTCGAATTGAGATTTTATTCAAATTTCCGACCAAAAAATCATGCGTAGCGTGTACTAGCTTCACCTTAGTTTTGTTCATATGATCACTATAGGGTGACTCTACACATGGAATTTTGATCTTCATAAAGGATTTTTTGGTCAGAAATTTGAATAAAATCTCAAATTGAAACATTTATGTATAGTTAAGATATCATTTTGATTCATTTAAGATTTAAGGTACCAAAATGCAACATTATCAATAGTTAAGGTGCCATTTATGCATTTGTTGCCAAGAAAGGTTAAAAAAATGCCTATTTTCTTGTAATCATTAAAATTGCATTCTTGAATAAGTGAACAAAAACAACTTAAAAAGATGAAACTAAAAATATAATTTTTAAAGAAAGTAATAACAAAGCTCAAGAATACTCCATAAATGCGAAAAATCAGACTAAAGCAACTGCAAAAATCAGGATTGAATCATCCACCAAATGAGAAAAGAAAAAAAATCTAAACTTATTTTTTAGCCACTAGAATTTTGATTGGCCAAAACTCTTCTTTTTATTAAGAATTTATATATGAACTAACTAACACATCTATGCTCATAAGATATGGTCATGAGAAGTAATTTTTAACAATATGTTATTATAAAATCTGTTATGCAAGTAAAAGTAGATAATTTTAGAAAGCACGAAAAACTAATCTTACTTTAAAGCATTATTCCGAGAGGGAACACACGATTTACTTATGAATTAATTCCACTTTTGTTCCGAAAAAGTTTTGTGCCAATTTCACCTACGAAGACAACAAATCTAAGCCAATCATGAAACTCATTCATTAAATAATCAAATCTTCGATTGATCTTGAATATGACTACGCATCTGCTAGTCAAATACCCTCTTTTTCTCTTATGTATTGAAGCTTCTACCCTAAAATTCCCTGCATAGCCACTTACTTTAGCCACCTTTTTTTTTTCAAAATTGACCTCGCTTAGAAGCTAGATCCCCCAATATGTACATTACTCGCTCAATGGCAAGCACTTGATAGAACACTCAACTTATTTAAGGTTACCACTCACTGCTCACCTTTAATTCATGATCCTCTCGTGCTCCATAGACCCTTTTTTGGTTGAGTAGCGTTTGACATCCATGGTTGCGCACAGGGCTCTGTGAATGGAAAAGCGGAAGAGGGAGAGTCGAGCGTGAGGGCGAAGGTAGAGGAAGGCTTGAATGCTGAATACTCCGTAGTATTTATTGAATCCACAGAAGACATAGTCCGGTAACGGCAAGCTGACCTCTGTGGCCCCAAATTTGATATATAACCAGTATAACCTTGGACTAAACATGCATGGAGTACAATCCACAAATGAACAAATAGACACAACATTTTTTCGATGTCCATTATACCCCTAACAATATTCATTCTTGTAAGAGCGTAGAAGTATATATGAATAATGTCTTGCGGATAGCAAAAGCCCAAATTAGAAGATAGGTGATGTAAGACCATCCCCAAGTATATTTACTTTTTACTAAAGTATGTATTGAATCTTGAGAAATGGTTAATGAATTTACGAGGTCGTTTAATTTTTGTTATTTATTTTACGTGATTAGTAAAATGCACACGGGCCCATATCGGGAGCGGGGCCACCTGATATTTCCGGGACCACATATTATATTCATCTTGGTCTAGATAATATGTATATTATGATTTATATTCATGTTTGGTTGTAGAAACGAAATAGAGTTGGCCGGTTGATCAAGCGAGGCCTATATCTTTGTAATGGTATTCTGGCAGATAACAGCTCATAATAAATTATGAGGACTACTAAATTAAAGTTCAAGAATATATATTCATCCTAGAGGCCCATTATAGTTGGGATAATAATATACATTTTATTTGGCCTGATAAAAGTTAAATTTAATTAAAATAGACTGAGAAATACAATTTTCGAGGCCGAATGTACATTTTGGGGCTTAAAGAGATGACCTCTCACATGAGTGACGGACGCCTCACGAAATTTCACACTCAAAGGTCAATTTGGGGGCTGTGGAACATGGGTGGAGCTATTGGATTTATGAGAAGATGGGTGAGACATGGTTGAAAGGCAAAGGGACCTCCTCCCATCACTCATTGGCTCATTGAAACGTTAGTTGTTCTACATTTAGCCTGCTTCTCGTCAGTACAAGTTGTACTGACCCCTCCGAGGGTCCTACCATTTCAGGTTGAAGCTAGAGCTTGCTACCCGCACCTTTGAATCAGGTGAAGTCATCATCAAGGAAGACGTGGTTCGTGATTCCTTATTATTTTGAAACTTTAAACATGACTCGTGACTATTTTAACTTTTATAAATTGTTTGGGGCCTACGAGCCCATGTTTTGGCCGGACGTGGCCCATGGATTACAGTTGAATATTTTTCGCTATTCATTAGATAAAATGTGATGTTGTTATGTATGTTTACTTAGTGAGTGTGGTATGAATTATATTTATGGACGCCTTTACAATTGAGTGAGGTTGACTTGTGGGTGACGTCAGTTGATTGTGCAGCGGTTGTACATGCGCTTAAATGCTATCTGAGGCATGACAGTTGAAGCCCAATTTAGAAGATATGAAGAGTTAGATCGAGGGTGTTTGCAATTGATTTTGTGCAATAATTTTTTCACAAGTACCCAACTTTCAAAAAAACTGTTTCATTGAGCAATTAGGAGTATCTGGAAGTATTTTTACACTTCTACCCAATCACCATGTGTGATGTTCGACATCACCATGTGTGTAGCTATCGGTCCATAGAGATGAGGAGGGGCATTGTTGGCACTTACAAGGATGCTAGACTGGTGTTACAGAGTTGAAGAGGCTATTGGTTACACTTTACACAGAGGGAGGAGCTATGGGTAAAAATGTACACGAGCAACCTCAAATAATACTAATTTAGGTAACGTTTTATAACACAAATACGTTGAATTTGTGACATATACTCCCTCCGTCCTGAAAAAGGTTCATCAAATTGAATTTTTTTGTCAATGTCAATGTCAATCAATTTTGACCAATTTTATTTTTTATATGAAATTATTTTGAATAGGAAATTTATATCAACTTGTTCCTTATTGAAAATATTTTCATAAATGTATAGATTTATAAATTGTATAATTAAAATCAATGTTCAAAGTTTGTCATCATTAATCAAAATATTTTTGACAATATAAATTTAGTGGTTATGAAAAAATTGACCCGCACTATGAATACATTAGTTATTTTTTATAAAGAAGGGATGGATATTGAAATTTATTAACCAATATGATTGTTGTCTTGCGGATAGCTGAAGCCCAATTCAGAAGATATGAAGAGTTAGAGGGTGTTTGCAATAGATTATGTTTCTGTTTCTTTTTTAAAAACAGATGTAGAATATCAATAAATTTTTCACTAGTTGTCTCTTCCTACTTTTAAAAAACTGTTTCTTTGAACAATTTGGGGTGTCCAAAAATATTTCTACAATGCCACCTAATCACTCCAATATCTGCATTGCTCCTTGTAGGAGTAGAAACACTTTTAAGTTTTACGGAGTAATAAACATACCAAAACATTCCCTTAGATAATGTGATACATAGTACTCTATCTTCCGAATTTCTTTTTTCATTCTTCCCAAAATAATCTTTCAATATTTCTTTGGCAAAGAATTTGTACTTCACAACACAAAGAATTTGTAAATAAGGGGGTGTTTGAATCTGATTTTTAAAACTACTTCTGCTCCTTCAGAGAGCAGAAACAAAAGTTGGAGTTTTTGGATGAAAGTGCAGGAATACTTCTAGTGTCCTAATTTACACTCATAATAAAAACAAATAGAAGCTTGGGAAGACCAGCTTCTGAAAACTGATTCTGATTCTGCCTTCTGCTTTAAAAAAGAAGCAAAATCAGTTCCAAACATTCTCTAACTCTTCATTACATAATATTCACTGTTTTGATTCGTTTCCAATGTACTATTTCCTCCGTCCCGTTAATATTGTTCTATTTTGTTTTTTCGGGAAATCTCACAAAGACCATCTCATATCAAATTTAATAAAGTTTATGTGAGTCTAAATTATTCTTATTTTATTCTAATTTTAACAATTCAATACCAATCACATAAACTCATTTTTTTTAATGTTAGTGGGAAGGAGGTAAAAGATAAATTTGAAAGAGATTACTAATGTATGCTAGAACGTACCTTGGAATCTTAAAAGCCCCTCAAAAAGACAAAAGGTTGGCCATAATAAATCAACTACGCTTTCCATAAGAAGTAATGATCAATTCACATCCCCATAAGATTTGTAGGAAGATAAAAGGTCAATAACTTAAACCGTATTTGTATTATTAGCCTGCACGGCGTATTTATAAGCAGCTAATTAGATTAACTTCAAAATACTCCGTAAACAATACAGTAACAGAAATGGCCACTTTCCCGCGCTCTCTTCTGCTCGTCTTTTTCCTCCTCCTCATCAATCCCTCACCTTCTTCTTCGCTTTTCCTCCCACTTTTTCAGTACCAAACCGCTCTCTCCCTCAGCCGCACACTCTTCAACCGCGTCGCCGACCACCGCACCGCCCGCGGCGATGCTCTCGGAGCTGCCAGAGTACGGTCAATCGCCAAAATCATTAATGAAGCCAATGGGGTGGGCTTATGGAAGCTGATGTGGAATCACGGACGGTCCTTCGTCCGGAACTTCTTCAATTTCAACGTCCTGGTCAGAGCTTTGGGAGAGTTAACTCGGGCCGGGTCAGAAGAGGATAAGGAAAAGTTATCGAATCGGAATCACGGAAATGTCACTAAAATTGCTAATGATCTATCAGCTAGAATGCAGAAGGTGTTTGGTCAATCTGTAAGCATTTCTGCTGCTGAGTTTTGTTAAATTTTGATTTCATTGTTGTGAAAAGTAATGTTCTGTTTGAAAATGTTGGAAATCCAGGGCGCTTTGGCTGAATTAATGGAGCTGCTCAGAAAAGAGATTGTGGAGGGTGACTTGTTGAAGGACTGCCTGCAGGTTGGTGGCAGCGATTTGAAAGAATTGATCCAAGTTTTGAAGAATATGGCTTTGCAATTCACTAATTCCTCTCCTTCCAACCAAACAGATTTATGAATTAGCCTCTACTATATTTCTCTAGGTTTTTTGGTATTGTACTACCTAATTTACTGCATTCCCTCTCCGAATTATGTTTCTTATTTAAATTTTGTATTCGATAATTATGTTTAGGTTGTGCTTTAACTTAACTTATTTAAAAATGAAAAAACATTACATATCTGCCTACTTTATTGTTACGAGTGAAATTAGTGAGCAATGTGAATATGCTTATTGGAGCACATACTCCATCTGTCCCTCAATTTAGGGGATGTCCCAGATCATAACTTTGATGGATTTTAAAAGATCATGGATTTTGAAATCCGATGATAATCAACAAGATTGTGGTGGATTGTTTTTATATGTAGAAATCCATCAAAATCCATTAAAATCAATGCAAATAAGTAACAACAGAAATCCACGGAATGTTTGAGGACACCCGTATTTTGATGGATTCCACAGAAATCCATTAAAATCCTCCGGATTCCGAATTGGGGACACCTGGATTTTGACCGAATTCTAAACTCTATTAAAATCCTCCGAAATCTGAATTGGGGACACCCCTCTTAGTTCCCGGTTTTACTTCACACGTATTAAAAAAATAAATTTGACTTTACTGTGGAGTGCACTGTTTTGCACAGTTCAAACACTGCTTGACACTGTTTGATATTGTTTTACACTGTTTGATATTGTTTTAATGTAGATAATTTGCTAAATATAGAAAGTAAGAAAGTGTGAATTTAATTTTGAGACTGCCCAAAAAGGGAAGTGTTAACTTCATCGGGGGACGGAGGGAGTATATAATATGGAGTAAAGGGTAGGGATTCTATTATCTACTCCCTCTATCCCTATATGAATGTCTCATTCTTTTGTATATATATTATGAAAATAACACAGATTGATATGATTTGACACTGTTTGGTTTTCTAAATAAGGAAAGTGGACATTTCAATAAAGAAAATCAGATGTTTATTTAGGGAAGGAGCTAGTATAAAATAAGAAGAATCTACATCATCAGTGGCTGACTGGTTGTTACTCAATCGTTTAACCTAGTCATTGCTCACACATGCATGCACCTCACTTCCACGTTTAAATATTGTCCCAAATCACTTCTGCTGTTCTACATGCCTCCAATTCAATTCCACCCCTAAGCGTACGTTGGGGAGTATTGGGACAAGAGGAGGGGAACACTTTAAGAGGGAGTAGAGAAAAGGGAAGGGAAGGGAGATGTGAAGTGATTCCTTCCTCATGTTTGTGAGTTACAAATTTGTGTATGGAACTTACAAATTTGAACAAAGGAGTGTTATAGGATGGTTATAGTTAAATTAAAGATAGAATTTCCCAAATAGAAGTAAAACATAGGCAAAATGCAAAAATAGGAGTATCATGTTTTGAATAGGAATAACTTTAGTGTTTGGACAAGTATACCCCTACCCAAACCCCAACAACTATTAATTAAATGTTTAGTTCATAATAAATTCGAAAAAATCAAAAATCGTAGAAAAATAATTAAAAAATTTATAAAATATTAATAAAATAAAAAATTTAAAAAAAATATTTTTTTAAATTTTTTATTTTTTTAAAAAAATTAATAAAAATAGTAAAACTCCTTAAAAAAAATTAAAAAATATGGATGTCTTTCCCACCGCTTGTACTACCTCCCTGCACCACCACCTCCGGACGGTGAAAAAAAATCCATTTTTCCTAAAACTACCTTTTTATTTGAAAATGCCAAAAACATGAAATATTTCTCTTTGCGAATGCCAACATTTTCATTGTTTTCTGTCATAAATATGACATTCGTAATGAGCTTGGTATTTTTTCCCCTGGTGACTGGAGGTGGTGGTGCTGAGGCGGCAGAGGCGGCGGTGAATTTTATTTTATTTTTTTGAGTTTTTTATTTTTTAATTTTTTTTTATATTTTTTTTGAAAAATAAATAAATAAATAAATTATTATTATCGAATAAGTCATAAATTAACTAGGTTAGGATTAAATCGGTCATATTTTAGAATTAACTAGGTTAGGGATATTAAGGGTACAAAATTAATGTTTACTCCTATTGAAGGAAGTTTTAAGTTTTACTCCTATTTGTGCAATTATGTTTATATATTTATTCCTATATTGGTCAATTCCTCACTAGAGTCTAACAGTCACGTTAACCCGGTAAAATAATGCAATTGGTCCCTTCGCACCTGCTCATAGCCGGTGACATTTGGTAATTTTTAAAATGCAGTGATGTGTGGTCTACGTGGAACGAACTTGGGAAATTAATACGACTGGCTTATTAGGTTGGTACGACTAAAACGGTGGGTGTGAACTTCAAACATTGGAATGTTTTTCTTACACTGGCCTTCTTTTACTCACAACAGTATTCAAACAATAACCCGACTTCTGGGATTGCTACAATGCTAGTATTTTTGTTGGCTGGTATAGGCTCCATTTTTTGTTGATTGATTGGGGTTTCCTAGCCACATTGATGGTTAACGGGAAGGTTTTTATATTTTTTTGTTCTTTTGTTTCGGAAATGGCAAACTTTTGTGGAACGATTAAAAAAGAAAATTTGGCCAAATTTTATGACACGGAGTGTACTAAACTCTTTATGGGAGGATTCTAATAAGGTACTCTTTTTCGGCCTAAGTCTTATCCTTTTTGTTTCGTAGAGGTCTCTTCCTGTTCTCTCCAACAATATGATATACTACAAAAGTAATGATATTTGGATTTATGCTTACATGTTACCTGTAACAAACTTGTGTATTATCACTGTAGACTATATATAGTCAGATTCTACAAATGCTTTTCAATATGGCATGTTAGTTTATAGTACTAGTATACAAGCATGGTCGATTTTTAAGAGCTGCAATAAATACTTGTCATAAGGCCCACTTTGGTAGGGAGCCTCCAAATTTTAGAATCCAATATTAGTTATAGGTTTATTTTTCCATATGTTATACTATCTCTGTTCTCTTTTAATTGCAACATTGGAATTTTTGCACTATTCACATATTCTACTTTGACTATATTTTATTAATTAATGTATTATAAATTAAATTTTAAAAAAAAATTGTTAAATTCTTCTCATTCTAAATTTTCAAAAAATGAATTTTTTAATTTTTTTTATTAATAGAGAATGAAAGATATTAATGATCAAACTTGTGCGTTGTCAAATGTGAAATGTTGACTGTTGTAATTAAAAGGGAACGGAGGAAGTATGTTATTCAAGATTCCAAAAGGTATATAACTTTTAGATCCTCCAATTTGCAATTTTTATATATCATAAAGCTTATATTTCATTGAATTATTTTGTCTATTTATATTTCATTGTTAAATTTTTTATTGTCTCTTTTTTAGGGGGCTCAATTTGCCATTTGAAATCGATGCCTCCAAATTCATTAGATGATCGTGTATACAAGTAATAGTGGTCAACATAAATTACTCATAATCTTTTACTTTATATATTAAAAGTTTATGAAATTTGAAGTATTTTTTGCATCTTTTGTAGCGGTTTTAATGTAGTTTCTGAATATGTAAATTTTATTTTCCATAACTAATTTGAGTGTTGACAGGGATCAATTTACTTTATCGTCGGTCAAACATCGTAAACCGTAAAGTATCTTACAAATTGGGATGGATGGAGTAATTGCTAATTTATGAATGTTGTGCTCTTTTTGTGAAGGTTTCTAAAATAATCACTTACAAAGTTCTTTATAATTTGTCACCGGTATATTGATTTCTTTAATAAAGTGACATTTGTGGTTTACCCCGAAAGAGAAACCACCAAAATCAGTGGACAAATGTCGGGGGTCAATTGCCACAATATTATTAATAAAAGAGAGTAACGTATTTTCATATTTGTTTTCATATTTGTTATTATTACTTAGTTAATGTATTTACTTGCTACGGAGTACATCGTGTTATTACTTAGTCAATGTATTTTAATGTTAGTATTTTTCTATGTTTTATTTGAGAGTTTGGGGAAGGTGTTACAAATTCATAGAAAAGTAATGACAAGATCATAGTGACTATATGCAGAAATGATGGAAAGGGGATGGGGCCTTTATGGTTATTTAATTCAATAGGTTATTGATTTTTTTGAAAAAAACTTGATAGTGATGAGTGCTCTTTATTTGAAAATACTATGGTATGTGTTAGTAATCTCAGAATTGAGCTAATGTACATTTGGAAAATACTCCGTATGTGTTAGTAATGGTGTTTCTTTATTTTTCACAAAGAGCTATTTGAGTAAACTTTACACTTTTTGAAACTCAATCCAAAAAATGTTGAGTGCATCGGTAGACGTAAAATGTTCATTGAATTTTCTTTGTTATATCGTGCACATTATTGAATTAGAGATGAATACTCACTCGTCAGCTTACTAAGCAAGCACTCCTACAATAAGGTGATAACAACATGATATTGGGGGTGTTTGTTTAAGAGTCTATCAGCTATTTTTTGGCTGATTTGACTATATTTGGTGTTTTGATCAGATCAATCAGCTAATAAAAGTGTTTGGTTTAATGGCTTTTTCAATTAGTTTTTTGTTCCAAACAACTAAAATCTCAAATGCCAACCACTCCAACGTTTGCTATTGGCATTTCCGCATAATCCCTAAACTACCCACGCCTTTTCCCGTACCTCCTATTTTGCAAAAAGTTAAGGGAGAGAAAACTTCCCCAACCCATACCAGATTACCAACTTCCGTAGAGCAAATAATCAACCATGGGAGCAAAATTAGCTATGTGTAACCTCCGATTCTCAAATATATACATACACATACATACATACATACATACATACATACATACCTACATACATACCTACATACATACATACATACATACATACATACATACATACATACATACATACATATATATATATATATATATGTATATATATATATACACGTGCTATACATATACCACAACAAAATCAAGTGCCTGATTGAGCTCTTCTCTTACTTCACGGCCAAATCAGGGCATTCATGGATGAGATGGATGACGCAATTGGGATGAGAAAGGGATGAGATGGATGACGCAATTCGTGCATTAGTGTGTTCTCTAATTAGTTGTTTGAAATGGAAGATTTAGAATTGAGACTATTAATCAAAATAAACATTTAGAATATGACCAGCGTAATTAATCAAAATATTTATTACCGACAACTTTTTTAGTTTTTAAAATCATAAACAACAGTTTAGTAGTTTAACGAATTATTATATTAATAAAAA